GGCAAAGGCTGCAGAACAGCAAAGATTGCTGTCTGTTCCTTCCTCTGGAAGCTTTGTCCCAGAGAAGCACCCACCTGATGCCAGCCAGAGCTCTCCTGTATGAGGTGTCTGTTGACCCCTGGTGGGAGGTGTCTCCCAGTCAGAAGGCACGGGGTCAGGGACCCACTTGAGGAGGCAGTCTGTCCCTTAGCAGAGCTCAAGCGCTGTGCTGGGAGATCTGCTGTTTTCTTCAGAGCTGGCACGCAGGAACGTTTCAGTCTGCTGAAGCTGCGCCCACAGCCGCCCTTTCCTCCAGGTGCTCTGTCCCAGGGAAATGGGAGTTTTATCTATAAGCCCCTGACTGGGGCTGCTGGCTTTCTTTCAGAGATGCCCTGCCCAGAGGGGAGGAATCTAGAGAGGCAGTCTGGCTACAGTGGCTTTGTGGCACTGCAGTGGGCTCTGCCCAGTCTGAACTTTCAGGTGACTTTATTTACACTGTGGGGGAAAACCGCCTACTCAAGCCTCAGTAATGGCAGATGCCCCTTCCCCCACCAAGCTCCAGCATCCCAGGTTAACTTCAGACTGCTGTGCTGGCAGCGAGAATTTCAAGCCAGTGGATCTTAGCTTGCTGGGCTCTGTGGGGATGGGATCCACTGAGCAAGACCACTTGGCTCCCTGGCTTCAGCCCCCTATCCAGGGGAGTAAACGGTTCTGTCTTGCTGGTGTTCCAGGTGCCACTGGGGGTATGAAAAAAAAACTCCTGCAGCTAGCTTGGGGTCTGCCCAAACATGACCGTCCAGTTTTGTGCTTGAAAAACAGGGCCCTGCTGGTGTAGGCACCTGAGGGAATCTCCTGGTCTGTGGGTTGCAAAGACCATGTGAAAAACGTAGTATCTGGGCCAGAGTGCACTGTTCCTCGTGGCACAGTGCCTCATGGCTTCGCTTGGAACTCCCTCCCTGACTCCTTGTGCTTCCTGGGTGAGGCGATGTGCCACCCTGGTCCTGCTGGCCCTCCGTGGGGTGCACACACTGTCTCACCTGTCCCAATGAGATGAGCCCACTACTGGAGTTGGAAATGCAGCAATCACTCACCTTCTGTGTTGATCTCACTGGGAGCTGTAGACTGGAGCTGTTTCTATTTGGCCATCTCAGCCACCGCCCATTGCAGTATTTTTAATTCCAAAGCTATAAACAATGTAAATAGCCCAAAACAGAGTTGTGATTAATATAACTATTCTGTGGCATCATTAAAAATCATGTAAGGACATGGGTCAGTGCTCACAGTATACTTAGAGGGAAACTAAAAGGTTAAAAACAATGTATGAATTATGATCCCACTTACTTTTAAGCACGTATACATTAATTTATTTAAAAAAGAAAAAGTATTCCAAAATGTTAAATATGTCATAATTTCTGGATGATTCCAGTCCAAGTAATTTTTATCTGCTTTATATTATTATTATTATTTTGAGATGGAGTGCTAATCTTGTTGCCCAGGCTAGAGTGCAGTGGTAAGATCTCAGCTCACTACAACCTCCACCTCCCAGATTCAAGGGATTCTCCTGCCTTGGCCTCGTGAGTAGCTGAGATTACAGGTGCTGGCCACCACACCTGGCTAATTTTTGTATTTTTAGTAGAGATGAGGTTTTGCCATGTTGGTCAGGCTGGTCTTGAACTCCTGAACTCAAGTGATCCTCCCACCTCAACCTCCCAAAGTGCTGGGATTACAGGCGTGAGCCACTGTGGCTGGCCTATTTTTCTGTATTTTACAAAATGTTTGGAATCACTATATATTACTTTTAGAATTAGGAAAAAGAGGATCCTTTTTTTTTTTTCCTTAATTTTTAAGTTCCAACCAGCCAAACACCGCTAAAGAGCTAGTTGTGTTCTGTAACTCTGCAACAGGCTAATGGGTTACAATGGTTAAGTCAGTCTGTGTGGGGCTAGGTTTTCCTGTTCATCACGAAGAGAAGTAAATGTCTCTGTCTCCATCATAGCTAAAGTAAGAGAGCTTCTACTGAGGCTCCTAGTCTTCCAGGCTGTTTGGCTTCTCTAACTCCCCTGGATAAGGGACAATTTTCCCCTCCCAAAGCCTTTGCTCTCCATCTTCTTCCTGGACCAGGCAGACAGAAAGAAAACACATTTGCCTGCTGCCCATTCACCTCTGAGGTTGTCTTAAAGGCGGAGGGCACCACCACCCAGCCACCTTCACTACAAGGTAACAGACCAACATGTTCCAGGCAAAAACCCAAGGTCTAGAGAGATTATGTGGTCAGAGTTCTCCTGCGTCTCCAATGCTGCACACTCCCACTTTCCTTTGCTTAAGGAAATCAGGAAACTTTGAGTGAGAAAATGGCATGCTGAGAATTTTCTATGATAGTGAATTCAGGTTTCCTACCTACTTTCTTTCCAAGGTAGTGACTAAGTCAATGTTCCAGAACTTGAATTCTAACACACTAGATGTATTCACCCTCATCGGCAAATTCTCATTGGGTACTATTGTGCCCTGCACTGGGCAAAGTCGTATGTATAAAGAAGTGACTGCAGTTTTCCTGCCCTTAGGAACTAGAATCAAGGGAAAGTCACATAACACTATGGAAGCATGAACTTATTGTTGCTAGAATAATATATCTTGGGAATTTCCAGCTTTTTATTTTAAGTCTCCCTGTGCTATAAGTAAAAAAGAATGGCCAGAAGAACCTGTTTTATTGTACAAAATTAACATTTAAAAACTTTTGTGTATTCTCCGCCCCAAATCTCAGTGTTTCAAGAGACTAGAATTTAATTAATGTAGCTATTTAGAGATACAAATCAGCCATTACTGTTCTTTTTTTCATAAGGATATTGAGTTTAATGATATCATTATCTTCACTAGCTTCTAACACTAGAGAACATAAGATTGATCCATTTTCCCCAAAGCTTTTGTGTAGTAAGTTTTTATGTAAGTGGAAAACTTAATGCTAACAGAAACAAATTCAACCACACTTTGAAAATTACAGGATAATTGCTAATTCTGTGGTCATTCATTCCCATGCCATACTCCAACACGGGAAACTATGAGAAATGTAACCACTGGTAAAATTAAACCTGCAATTATAGCACCAATTTCTAGGATATGTTGATTTTTCTCTATTTTGCAACATGTGCACAAATATATAAAATTTTCTCATTTATTTATCATTCATGTTGACCTTTTAAATTCAGAGTCTGTCATATCACGATTAATATACTTAAGAAAGGCTTTTTGTTTTATGTTTTTTTGAGATGGAGTCTCGCTCTGTTGCATAGGCTAGAGTGCAGTGGCACTATCTTGGCTCACTGCAGCCTCTGCCTCCCAGGTTCAAGGGATTCTCCTGCCTCAGCCTCCCAAGTAGCTGGGATTACAGGCACCTTCCACCATGCCCAGCTAATTTTTGTATTTTTAGTAGAGACAGGGTTTCACCATGTTGGCCAGGCTGGTCTCGAACTCCTGACTTCAAGTGATCAGCTTACCTCATCCTCCCAAAGTGCTGGGATTACAGGTGTGAGGCACCGCACCCAGCCTTAAGACAGGTTTGGATACTGCTTATAGTCTTCTTTATTAGTTAAATTTTTAAATTGTCATCAAAGTCAAGGGCAATAATATACTCGGTGAATTAGCATAAGCTACCTTTGAAAATATGAATCAGAAAAAAGAAACAGGCATGTAGCAAATCCATGCTTTATTCTAATCCACCATCCTTCTAGATAATGATTATCTTTGTCACCTAGCATTTGGATCAGTCTCCCTATTTGCAATAAAGTCTCAATGCACCCCGTATCTTTACTAATATCTACCATCGACTTCCAGAACTTTTTCTAAGTACCCTCTATTTCTCTCATCCCCTACCCTCAGCCTTTCCTAGTTCTTGGAATAGTGCATCCAATGCTTCACTGTACCCTAATCTAGAATTATTCACACAACTCCCACATTTTCCTCATTGGTTGAAGCTTTCTCTAACCAGAATCCTTCTTCCATCACCATTAGATGCATCATTAGTTTTTGATCTTTTTCTTTTTCCATGGCCTTAGTAAACTGTTAGTTTGTCATTTTTCATCCAGTTCTATGTATGTGTTGTATGCCTCTCTGGAGCATCAATTCTATTGGAAGGGGCCCTGGCTAATTCCAACGACACACCAGCACATCTGGTATATTGGGAGTGGGGACGAGGGCAATTCTAGAAACAGTAAATATTGAGCTCTCAGTGTTTTGCACGTACTATCTGGATTCAAACCCAGACAGTCTGAATGTAGAGCCAGCACTTTTCACGCCGCACTATGCTGCTGTGATGAAGAGGACAGGAAGTAAGATGCAGAGGAGGAGGAGGAGGCAGGAAGTGGAATTCCAGTGGTGAAATCTCTGGATCCACAAAAGTACTGTAATAGAATCCTCACTGTGGCACTTCCTGCTATATGGCTGCATATATGGTGTATGGGCCACATGTATTGATATTAGATAATGATTATCTCTGTCATTATCTAATATCAATGTATTGGGCCACATGTATTGAACAAATACAAAGTCTCATGTACCGGGTCGTGTGCTGTGTGCTGCATACTGCCTATTGAGCAAACAGTCGTATGGTCCCTGCTCTTCCACAGCTGGCAGCTTCGTAATCCAGAAAGATAAGGGGACATAGAAGGACATGGAGACAGGGTGGTCTTTTCAGAGGACGTAATGTCTGATGAGTGGCAGGATGGGTTAGTATTAATTAGATGGGTTAAGGATGGGCTAGTGGGCATCAGAAAGGGGCCAGGAAGGGCATTCCAAGCAAAGGAACTAGCCTGTGCAAAGGCCCCCACCTAATAGGGAAGTGAGGTTTATTGAGACACTACAAGGAAAGAACTCAGCATAGTTCCTGGCACATGGTAATAGCTGGTAATGTTTCCAGTGATGACAATGATAAAAATGATGGTTGTGGTGACCAAAGTTGTGATAGAGGAACATATCCTTCTCAAATTATTGCCATTATGGTTTTTGTTTTGCTTTGTTTTGTTTTTTAGTGACAAGGTCTTGCTCTGTTACCCAGGCTGGAGTAATCAAAGTTCACTGCATAGTGAAGTAATCAAAGCTCACTGCAGCCTCAACCTCCTGGGCTCAAGCGATTCTCCCACATCAGCCTCCCAGGTAGGTAGCATTATGGCCCTGAGCCACAATTCCTGGCTAATAATTTTTTCAAAAAAATGTTGGTAGAGATGGAGACTTGCTTTGTTGTCCAGGTTGGTCTCAAACACCTAGGCTCAAGTGATACTTCTGCCTTGGCCTCCCAAAGTGCTGAGATTACAGGCATGAGACACCATGTCCATAATCAGCACAGCTGATTAACTGAGATTCATTTTTCCCAGCTTCCATCTCACCCTTTAATGAGGGCATTTTTTAAGATACATTTCCCTAAGGATAGGCAAGAAAGGGAAAAAGAAGAGAACTGGAAGCCCAAATCATGGACGTGTGACTAATCTTTCTCTTATTTGTAAATTTGTTTAAGTGGAGCGTTATAGGGTTAGTTGGTTTAATCTTTACAAATGGAGAAAAGTATAGAGATAATGTGTTGTGTTCATTATAGTATAGGTGATCAGTTTTTCCAGAGAAAAATCTAACTAGAACAATTAGATGAGACATATACCTAATGATTCAAGTTTCTCAGTAGTAGCAGAACAAAAAACAAAACAAAACAAAAACAAAAAAGCAATTTTTTTCCAAGGTAAACCAGACCACATCTTTTTCAGACCACTTCCAAGAGATGAATGTTAATGGCAGTAGGGATTTTTGAACAGTCTTGCAGAGCGTATGGAAATCATGGTCCATGTAGTATTCCTTGTTCATCTTCATATTTACCAGGCAATTCAAATAGATAGATACTTCCTACAAAAACTTCTGAAATGCTACGATAACATATGCCATGAAATATAATTTGCATGGACGATTAAGATCCTATTTACGGCCTTCACCTCTTTTTACAGCTGCTGTACAAATAACAAAGTTCAAAGGATGGAAAATCTAACAGTTATAAACACTGAATTCCCACACCCAAAAGATTTTCATAAAAGCCAAATAGAAACATAGAGAAAGGTGCGGTTGCTCACTCTCATTTTCCTTTAAGTAGAGTGACTGTTTCCTATTAGACTTCACCTGGTTTGTTTATTTAATGATTCTTTCCAGTAGACTATTATTACCTGAAGGAGTATAAAATAGAAACTACAAGCATGAGTTAGAGAAAACTACAATCTTCCTACCAGAGCTTGGGGAATAATGAATACTCTAGGAACATTTTTCCACCCAAATCCTGAAATTATGCTCAGAATTGTGGTTCATATGCATAGGTGCACTGTGCCCCCTTTAGGGGAGGAGCCATAGCTTTTTATAGGGTCTTCAATAAGTCTGTAGCTTCAAAGAATTGTTAAAACACATTGTTCAACAGTGTTTTCCTTTTGCTATACTTTCACTCAGTAACATTTCCACACCTAGAAAGGTACTTTAAAAAGGAAACACTTTGGCTTACCTGCTCATAAATTAAGCCTGAGCAACGTAATGTACAATAAATATAAAAATAATATGGATGTTAAACGGTGTGGTAAAGTGGTCATTAGTCCAATCATCAGAAAATGTCAAGAGAGATCACAGATTAATTAGAATATATAACCTATTCAATTTTTTTTCAATTGTTGTTTTAAAAGTTTCAAAACCTCAGGGTGTGAGTAGATTATTGTGTGATGTACTTCTGACAAAATTCTTTTAAGTTGACATGCAGGACAGGAATTTGAGTGCTGTGGAAAAATCACCACATTTGCTGATACTGTCTTTTTTGCAATTGTCATGGTCTGTGAATTTTTGGAGTCATAGTTTCTTTTCCCCAACTTGGTCCTTCTGTGTCTTGCTCATTTTTTCTAATGATCCTCATCCTTTAATGGTTATAATCCTAAATATCCTCAAAGGTGGGATACTATGGATGATAACTGAGTTCATGTCTACCTATAACCAATCATTTATACTGGGGAACTAAACTAGCCGTTCTGCAACAACACGAAATGCTGGGTCAGGGGGTGGGCAGTTTGGATGAAGTGATACTATTCACTCATCAGCAGGGACATAATAAATACTTTGAATTCTTTTCCTATAAAAGTAAAAGATTCCACTGAGCTTGTATTACTTTTGTGATGTCCTTTATAAGATACCTTTTCAGGCACATTATCATTAATGATGCATGTTTATAAAATATTTTTTTTAAAGGTTGGTTTTTAAAAGAAGAAGGAGGAGGTGGAGCAGGAGAAATAGAAGTAACAGCAGTAGTTGAGGTGAATCAGAGGCAGAGGAGGAAGAGGAGATGAGAAGTAGGTTGGGAAGAGAAGTGAATGTCCAGAGAATTGCTGGTGCAATATAGCTTACAAAGAATAAGCTGGGCCAAGAAATACTAGTGTCTTGGAGTTAAATTTTTGTCTTTCTGTCTGTTGAGAGGAGAAGACCAAAAATGAAGAAAGAGGCAGGAAGACCCAGCCCTTTCTGTAAGCCTCAGATGGAGTCATCCTGGTGAAGCATTCTGAGGAAACATGGACAGTGCCCCCATAGTGCCAGGCAGTATTTCTCTAAAGCAGAGATTCTGGGAGGAACATTCCCCATCCAAATCCTAAAATTATATTTGAATTGATGCATTCATATGCAGAGATGCATTTTTTTCTCCTAAGGGGAAGAGACATAGCTTTCTTTAGATACTCAGCATAGTCTATAACCTCAAAAAACCTGATGAAACATATTGTTCAAGGTTAGGGATTCCCCGAACCTCTCTTTCCAAAAGCATCCAAGTCGTCCTGCATCTAGCTCCTAAGCCTATTTCCCTAGGGGGAATAACTAACCCCTAAGGGTATTGCAACAACTTTTTCCAGAGGATAAAGCCTAAGTAGCTTGAACCATTGAGTAACTTCAGCCTCCTTAAGCTCATGGGCTAAATTGGTTAACCGCCCAGATTTCAGACGATCTGCCACAGCTATTTATGACCAGTATTCTGTAGTTTTTCATCATCTTCTCCCATTTGCTATGTCATTTGTTACTCACAACACCTTTGTAGTTAAGTAGGACACCTCCAATTAGTTCCCATTTACAGAACAAGAAATTGAGAGAGAAAAAAAGTGACTTGCCCAAGTTCCCAAGTAGCAGCCTGCCAGGCTGAGAATCTAGGCATGGACTCCAGGGAGGGTAAGGCATGTCTGTCTGCAAGGAAGTTAGTCTAAATACAGTTTTGTTGTCATTTTCCTCCAGTGGCAAAATGTTTTAATTCCCCTAACCCAACCCGACACACATTCTTCCATCACACCTTGGCCTTTCTCAGAGAGAAACTGAATCAAAATCACTCAAAGAGAGTCAGTGCTTTTCTCAGACAACAAAAAAATAGCCAGAGCATATCATGCTGCCAGCAAACTCCAGGCACATCAGAAAAACAAACAAACAAACAATGTTCCTCATTATTTTTGAAGATATATTTTGTTTAGAAGTACAGAGCCAGAAACTGCCTCATAGGGAAAATCATCTCCCTTTTGTAAACATGTATTGTGCACATTAATTTTTAAGAAATATGTTTGTTTACTAGAATCTTCTATAGACAGTGTTATTGGCTCTAATATTTTCCTCCTTCCTGTATCTACATTGTTCTTCACATAACTCTGAAATGCACCCACAATGTGCGAAAGATGTACTTCTTTGGGTTTGGACATAGGACTTGCTTTTGCCAACAGAATTAGGCCAAAGTCATACTGTGCTCATTCTGGGCAAAACCATAAAAGCCTTGTGTTTCCTCTCCCCTCTTGTACTTCTGCCATTACCTTGAGAAGACTATGCCAGACTAACCCATTGGTATTAGGAAGGGAAGAACAGACATTTAGGACAAACCTGCATCAACCAAGTCACCCCCACTCATCATAGGCTGCATTAGCCAATGCCGAAAAGATACCTCTCTGAAGATGGCATGAAGACCAAACTATCAGCTGTGTTTGTTACAAAGTGAAGTTCTCTTGGCAATAAACCATGTATTTTTTGTCCAAATGTTGCAGATAAGGCAGTATTACTTGATCTCTGCTGTTGAGTTTTTGTAAAGAATTTTAGGACTCCTTGGTTCCCTTTCATGAGTTCTTTTTATGTAGGAATGACCAGATGTACCTAAGGAGTTTGGCCCAATTGCTAACTGGACTGTTCACAAGTATCTCATCTTCCACACCCACCCATTGTTCTTATATACATGAAAGTTTGTAGTTGGGAAGACAGAAATACAAAGAGAATAAATTACTGAATTGATAAGTAGCCTGTGATAAAAATTTAGATTCCATCGCAATGTCTTGAAAATTCTAAGGGAAAATGATTTGTAACCTGAAGTTCTATAACCAGCTAAACTATTATGCAAGTATATGGGTAGACAAGAACTACCTGAGAGAATCTCTGGGACAGAGCTAAAGCAGTGCTTAGAGGGAAATTTATAGCACTAAATGCCCACAGGAGAAAGTAAGAAAGATCTAAAATTAACACCCTAACACCATAATTGAAAGAACTAGAAAAGCAAAACCAAACAAATTCAAAAGCTAGCAGAAGACAAGAAATAGCTAAGATCAGAGCAGAACTGAAGGAGATAGAGACACTAAAAACCCTTCAAAACATCAGTGAATCCAGGATCTGGTTTTTCGAAAAGATCAACAAAATAGATAGACTGCTAGCCAGACTAGTAAAGAAGAAAAGAGAGAAGAATCAAATAGACACAATAAAAAATGATAAAAATGATACCACCACTGATCCCACACAAATACAAACTGCCCTCAGAGAATACTATAAATACCTCTACGCAAATAAACTAGAAAATCTAGAAGAAATGGATAAATTCCTGGACTCATATGCCCTCCCAAGACTAAACCAGGAAGAAGTCAAAACCCTGAATAGACCAATAACAAGTTCTGAAACTGAGGCAGTAATTAATAGGCTACCAACCAAGAAAAGCCCAGGACCAGACAAATTTCCAGCCAGATTGTACCAGAGGTACAAAGAGGAGCTGGTACCATTCCTTCTGAAACTATTCCAAACAATTGAAAAAGAGGGAATCCTCCCTAACTCATTTTATGAGGCCAGCATCATCCTGATACCAAAACCTGGCAGAGACGT